GGGGTCATATTAGGGCCTCCCAGAATAGAAGGTGCTAATGTTCCCCAGAGGTGGCTTGGGAGTCCACACGCCTTTGAGGAGGCTATCACCTCCTCCTCACCAGGCCCCAGCCTGTGTAGGTCTGGACCCTCAGACCCTACCCCTGCTGAAGGCTGCCRGAAGGCCCAGCACCTCCACACCCAGGCATTAACAGCACTTTGTCCCAGCTCATCAGGACTCATCTCTGCTGCTGCCTCCACCTCTGGGAAGTCAGGTACATGGTCCTGGAATTTCCTTATTGAGGACCCAGACAGGGTATCCCCAGGCAGAAAGACAACAGTGGAAGGTGGGCTATCCAACCCCCAAGATTTGGAAACTACAGCTCCAGTCCACCCTAAGAGCCCATCTCCCAGACAGGAGAGGAAGTCAAAGCCATCCAGTGCCCCTGGGCTGGCCCATACACCATGTGAGATTCCCAGCCAAAGTTGGCTGTGGGAGTCTGAATGTGCAGAAGTAGAGAAAGAAGAACCACCCCTGAGCATCACCAAAGTGCCTGATGCCTCAGGTGACAGAAGGCAGGACGTTCCATGCAGAGGCTGTCCTCTTACCCAGGAGCCTGGGCCCAGCCTGCTTTGGAGGAGCCGAGGACCAGGGAGCAACCCAAAGCATCAGGATTCCACATTAGCACCAGATGAGGTTTTAAAACAAACATAGCAGTTGTTTGCTATTTCTTGCACCAGACCTGTGTAATACACGCTCCTGGAAACACCTTTGTGTTTTGCATGCTTCTTTCCTTCAGTCATCACACTCGTAACTGTCGGTCTAGGTCCTGTGTTGCTGCTGGGAATATAACTGTGACTAAGACATTTCCACCCTCTTGGGAGGAACACACTATCTAGCTTCGCTTCTCAGAGACCATCTGGGTTCAAACATGAAGAACAGGTGAATAGGTAGTTTTGCTGAGTATGGTAGAGGGAGGGCTGTCAAAAGTGCAGCATATACAATATACCTGGTATGTTCAAGGAACCAAAGATAATTCAAAATGGAAATGGGTATGGCAAATTAAACAAGGTATGGCAAATTAAGCAAGACCGTATCTAATGGTCTTCCATTGTGTAGGTGATACAGAACTAAACCAAAGAAGATCATGTGGCAACTAATATTCCTACTAATGGATAATAAAGCTTGGGCTTTCCTGCCCGAGGTAGATCTGGGATTGAACCTAGGTCTCCCTTGACTATACAGCTCACATTCACCTCACTCAGAGTGTGTCTTAGCCAGTAAATGAGGAGGAGAAAAGGTACTAGTAGGTAAGGAGTTTAACTTTGAATGTTTTGGTTTTAAGGTTTGGTTTGGGGTTTCCCCATCCCTTTTTTATATTTTATTTAGAGACAGGGTCTCATTGAGTTGCTTAGGACTTTGCTAAGTTGCTGAGGCTGGCTTTGAATTCATGATCCTCCTGCCTCAGCCTCCCAAGCCACTAGGATTACAGGCATACACCACTGCACCTGGTTACTTTGGATGTATTGAATTTGAGCTATTTCTGGGTCATCCAGAAGGTAATTGGATGCACAGATCTGGAACTCAGGAGGAAAATCTATACTAGGTAGAAATGAGCCAACAGTATATCAACAATTAGTGTTCCTGAATCAACAATTCAGGAACACTGATATTTAAGGCAAAGAAGGGAGACTCAGAATAGCAACCAGAAGAGGAATCATAAAATCCAAGAGAAGAGTTTCAAAATGGAGTAGTTACTTGATAAAATGGTGAGTGGTCAGGTGAGATGAAAATAGAAAACTGCCTGTTCAGTGGTAAGTCCTTAGTATTTGTAGCCAGCAAACCCTTCCTGGGATGTTTGTCAGGTATGCCCCAGCAGTAAAGGTGGACATTGCTGTGTGCATTCTTCTTTGAGTAGAGCTATGGGAGTCAGGAGATGGCATCACAGGGCAGGGAGTGGGGCTTGATGGAGTATCAACGCTAGGGGTGCCTCCATGCCAAACCATCGTGCACTGACATTGTACTGAATGTCCCACAATCCAATGCCTAGGTCTCAAGGAGAGGGGTCAGGAAACTGGGAGACAGAATACTACCTTTGAGTCAGTGGCTGGAGGGGTGCCTCCTGTACTCTGCAGCCCTTTGTCATCCTGCATGGGGAGGGTGGTGGCCACCAGAGGGCGTGCTGTATCCACCTGCAGGGACATTTTAGCCTTCTGGTCCTCTTGATTTCACTTTCTTCTTCCTTCAGTTATTTATAGACAGCAAATCATGGGCTGCCTGCACTGGGCATTGGGAAGACAGGTTGCAGGATCCAGGAGGACGGCTTGGGAGATGAGTGCCCCACATAGGTCAGGATCTGGTCAGAAGCACCATACCATAAATATAGGTGAAGCGGATGGAAGGAAGCAGATTTTGCAGTTTCAAGAGAACTGCCTTCTTATGGGTTTTGAAATRAAAATGGGAAGAAGCCCTCGGACACCCAGCATTGTGTAGTGCAAATTCCTAGGGTACATGCCTCAAGTGCCAATGGTGCTGTCCTTGAAAAACACTGAATTATCCCAAGGGGAGTGAGGAAATTCTGAGAGGCAACTTCAAATTTATGTTTTATGAAGATCACTCTTGCTACAATACAGTCAGGCTTGCATTGAGCAGATAGGCCAGAGAGAGCATGATGCAGTGACCCATATAGTGGTCTGAACTAGGATAGCAACAGTGAAGAGAAAACCTTAATCTGAGGAAGGAGGGAAAGCATGGGAAGATGGACACAGATTTAGGGCCAACAGGAAAGAAATGGTTATTTAAAGCTCTACGAGGATTTCCCAGAGAATGTGTAGAATGAGAAGCCCAAAACTCTGGAATTAGCTGGGAGGATGGAGCCACTGAAAAGAGAAACGTGTGAGAAATGAGGTTTGCAACATTACAAAATCCATTTTATAGACTTACATTTTGTAATGTAGCAGTGTACAGTGACAGGCACCTGCAATCTCAGCTGAGGCTGAGGCAGGAGAATCACTTGAGCCCAAGAGTTCAGAGCCAGCCCGAGCAATGCAGCAAAAGAAAAAAAAAAAATTGTGATTTGCCCTAGGAACAATTGAAAGTTACTTATAATGTTTTATACAGGTTCAGGTTTGTAGTTTAAAAAGATAACTGGTCGCCATAATGAGAATGAATTTGAGGGGGCAAGAATGGAGGAAGGGAGACCTTCTAGGGATTAGGCTCTGTAGCAAAGCAATGAATTTAGAGAATTGATGGTTTCACTGGTGTTTAGAAGGTAAAATTAATAAGGGTTGGCAGAGGGTTTTATAGATATGGAACAAGGCTATCAAAGATGTTGACTACAGCTGGGGTTGTAGCTCAGTGGTAGAGTGCTCACCTAGCATGTGTGAGGTACTGGGTTCGATCCTCAGCACCACATAAAAATAATGAAGGTACTGTGTCCATCTACAAAAAAAAAAAAAAAAAAAGATGTTGACTACATTTCTGGCTTATGCCAAAATGAACCCAATTTCCATTCAGCGAAATATGAAACAATGGAAGAAACCAGGACCAGAAGGTGACCCTGCACAATCAGTCTCTGGCAGGAGAAATAGATGTAATTGGCCTAAAGATGGTGGGTGGATTCATGGATGTGGAGAAAATGGTTAGGTAAAAAGGCTTATATAAGAGGAAGGCTGGAGGAACATCAGAAAAACTAGGCGAATGAATTGTAATGAAGTCAATGAAAGAGCTTTCCATGAAGAACAGTCAACAGAAATGGATACTGAAGACATCGAAGTCGGCAGTTTCGGGTAGTGGAACCTGTACTAAAATGCTTCAGGTGAGGAAATAAACACATTTAGGCAGGTCTTTCAAAAGGTGTGGCTTTGAGGGGTGGGGAAAATAAGGAAAAGGATATGGGATTGAGTAGGGATTGAGGACATATAGAATGAGAGATAACCAAACAATAATGAAAAAATGGTAATTCATCATGGGAGCCAGGAATGGTGACACAATTATAAGCTTGTAACCATAGCTACACATAAGAGAGTTCCCTGAGAATGTGAGAGAAAAATAGAATCCAAAATATGTGCTGAGGAGATAGGCTTTTGTTGGAAGATATCTTTGTGATTAAAGGTGGGACTGAGAGGACTTTTTAGGGTGTTTGTAGGTCTGGTGGTAGGACGAGAAGGGAATTCATAGCCAACCATGTGTTTTCTCTGAAGTATACAAGTTTGAAGTGCCTATGGGCCCCTCTAGTTCCCAGTGGAAATGACCAGATAGATGGCARGTAGAAGTCGAAAGACAGGATAGGCAGGAGATAAGAAAGGAATTTTGAGTGTCCTCAGCACACTCAAAATATTTTCCCCACCTCTTAAATTTAGGTTTAAGGGAACTCATCCACGCCTTGTATGTATAAAGTGTATAGAGGGGAGGAAGGACACATGCAGTCACTTAGAACAACAGACCATTCCCTGCTCAATCTGATTTTGTAATTGATGTATAATYGGGTGAGGCCTGAGACACATGGATGAGAACTACAACATACTGTGTGACAAGATACATTGTCATGTTTGCTGATTATATTCCTAGCACATAGGAACCTTAACAAAGTGCCTTGAAGTATAGTGACAATTGCCTAGGAAAACAAAAGGATAAGACCCTAAGACAATCCATTTACCCTGTCCCAGAGTAGAAGGTGAAAACACTTCTTTCTAGGCAGAAATATGTGATGCGCTTATTAGAAGGGGAGGAAATGGCCCTCAGATATAATTTTCTCAGTATCTGGGTGGACAGGGCTCATGGTAATGCCAGTTAGGGTCTTCCTCTTTAGGGGAGGAAAGGAACACCTTGTGACCTCCAGTTCAGCCTCAGGACTGATCTTTTGGTGTTTATTAGAAGGACTGGGAGTGTCACTGGTTTTTCAACACCCTAGTCCTCTTACCTTGCCCTTGCCCCTGCCCCACCCCCTGCCCCAGCCCACCCTTCCATAGCATCAAGACAAAAAGGTGCTTTATTGCAATGTCTTTATTGCATTACTGCAGCAAGTTGGCCAGACTATCCCCTCTTGGGGAAGGTAAAAAACAAAAGCCACAGAATTGTCTTCCTCACCTTCCCCCCACCCTCACCCACAACTGCACAGCAATGTCTGAACACATTTGGTGACAAGAACAATTTGCAAAAGTGGTCTAGGAACTACATTATGAATTGTCCCAACACAAGACACATAGTTGGCTTCCTTGTGAATCAGATTTTTTTACGTAAACTACATGAATTTTGACTACATCAAAGACAACAGAATAGGCTTTTCACAAGTAACAACAGGGCACCAAAGTCACATGCTGGAATCTGTAAGGAAATAAGGTTGGTTGTCACAAGTGGCTGGAGCTAAAGCAAGGCTGAACAGTTGTCAGCTGGGGGGCCAGGCAGGTCTCTTCTGGACCCTCTGGTTTCTGTGGCCATTGAAACCTCACAGAGGCCTACGATGGGGTCTTAATGGGCAGCAGAGATCAACCTAGAAACCAGCAACTGCCCAAATGTAATTCTTGACTCACTCAATAGAATGCATAGGGCTAGTTTCCTTTCAGCAAGAAGAAGAGACCCAAAGAAGATACCAAATTGGTTCTCAGAGCTTCTTCAGGGTATATGAGGTCTAAAGTAAATGGGAAAGCCCATCAAGTCCTGGGAGAAGGAAGATTAGAGGTGTTAGGAGGTCTTTATCCTTGGCCAGATCAATGATAAGGACACAGGCAATCTATCCAGGCCTGAACCATGGCCAAGGTTTGGCATCTAGCCAGGTAGAGAGAGCCTTGTTCAGTGATGAAAGCTCTACCTGGAAAAAAGGTAGGCCTTGGACCTGTGTCCAGCCAGCCCCAAGCTGCCTTCATGTTGGTGGCTGGTTTATCTAGCCAGGAGAATAATGGGCCTCACTGGTCTTGGTTTGTCTCTGCCTCCATGAGAATGCAGTTAAGATGCCGAGAGAAAATCTCAGGGCCCAGGTCACAGGACAGGACACAGAACTATACTCATATGAAAAAGGCCAAGACCTGCTCCCCAGCCATGGAGTGAGCTTGCCCCGCCACACACACTGGGGTCACTATTTAGCAGAACGGACCATATGCCATTTATGCTGGCTCAGAATCAAGCAAATCATGTGGCAACTGGTCAGAAAAAAAACACCTTAAAATTTCTCAAATGATCCTTGATTTCAGATCTCACAAAACAATGAATTCAAGAATGAGAAAAGGAAAAAAGTGGGGACAGGGAGGAATGTAGGAATGAAAAACAGCAGTCCTCCACAGTCAACCCAAGTGTAGATAGTAAGATAGTGCTCTGCTCTCATGCTGCACACTCTCAATGTCTGACCAACAGGGTACAAACTACCCTGATACATTGTTCAACACTACAGATGTGTGTATGCTATCCCATTTTGGTTTATTGTAAGAGACATTCRGAACACATTAAATTTTAGTACCTGATAGGAGGGATTCCTTGCACCCAATCTTGAGCATGTAACTACTTGAGCAGGTTCAACACCAGATGCCAAGCCACCCTGGGGTGACCACCAGCAATTAGCCTCCTATTACTCAGTAAACCTTTCAGCAAGATTTCAATCTGGCAGTTTGGGGAAAGGATGTGCTAGCTATCAGTAAAGGACTTAACTGATGGTGGAGGGATTTCACTTGTCTCTATCTCAACCCAATCCTTAAAGTGTAATGTAAACAAGGAAAAGCCAAAAAGAAATGCCCTTTCCTTCCAATCCTCATTGTTAGTAACTCTGGAAGTCTTTCCAAAAACTTTTAATCTATGTCTGTCTATATAATACTAGTCCATTCTAGATATTGTCACCAAGATAATGCTCAGGGAAAGTAATATTTGTTTTTCAGCCCCAAAACTAGAGCTTTCCTAGCTATTAGCCTTAGGAACCAAGATCCAGGTACTAGCTCAACCTGACTGCAAAGCTCTGGACTCAAAACAGCTGACTCACACTAAGCCCACTATGGTTCCAGGATTGGCTTAGAGGCAGCTGGACTCTATTTGTCAAATGAATGCTGACTGGAGAGTGTGGGGCAAAATGGAGGCAGAAGTTGATGCCTGCCCTCCACTCAGCTCGCCTAGCTTCACTCAGCTGGAAGGCTTAAGCCACATGGAGCAGAAGATTCCTGGCCTAAGATTACAGCCACTGGAGCATGAGGGCAGACTGTGCACATTGCCCTAATGGCAGGATCACAAAAAAGGCAAAGACAAAAGCTTCCAGATGGCTTCTACTAACAGTCTAAACTCCAAGCCATCTTCTCCCTGCAAAAGCTTCAAAACCACTATATGGAAGCACATGTGTAATGTGGCGTGACCCTCACCCTGCACACCAGGGCCTCTGGGTCTGTGATTTACTGAGGTGTCCCTGACCACAATCTGATTCCCCTCCTTAGCCAAGTAGGCTCCCGAGCCCTACCAAAGCAAAGGAGGGGTAGATGAAAGGAAATTAAATCATTTATAGTATTTTTGCAGGGCCTTTAAACTTGGGGAAGCACACRTAAGAATGTTGTTCTATATCATTATTTGGTATATCAAGCCATCTAAAAGCACTGGATTGCACCTTTTCTTTACTYATACAAACAAGTTACAAAAGTTTCAAACAACAGATCATTCTTTAGGCTAGGGAAACACCACACAAGCACCAACTTTGTTTTATGATTCAAAGCTCACTATCCCCACAAAAAGAATGCTATTTCTCATCTGAGAAACGAGGGCAGGGCAGAAGGAAATACATCAACCAGTTTTAGTGTTTGCTAAAACTCACATTTCTAGTTTTCTTATTTTCAAGTTTTGGTACAGAAGTATGCATTTAGCTACTAGTGCCACTTTCTCTCCTTAGACCTTAGTCTGGCAACAAACATTGTTTTGCTGGTGTCTGAACATAAATGCTTCTTTAGAGGGAGGAGATAGTGAGACGCTGAAGCCTAAGTTATGTTGGTAAGAAATAAAGTACCTTCAGTTGAAGGAGTTTTTTACCCCTTACTTAGATTCTTTAAATGAAATCCCAAACCTCCCTACATTGCTTTGGTTGTTTTTTTTTTTTTAAACCAAATCCCATCCTACCACAGAACCAAAACAGTCATCTTTTGGGGGAGAAGAGAAACTGCTAAAGCAAATCTRAACTCCCAAAAGAGCCATGTCTCTGCTGCATTCTCAGAGTTGAAGAACAAAAGAGGACATGGACTCTTCAGATGTTTCCAAGTACGACTCCCACCCTCYACCCCATCAAGCCTAGTGTTTCTGTAGAGGGTGCCTGGCTAAACAAAAATAAAAACCCCAATGAAATAGACTTTCCAAAACAACATCTGCTTCCAGGTTAGTATGTCAGTGCAGCAGCACAGCTGAGTCCCAGAGACCCCAGGCCCCTGATTCCCCCCATCCTGGCCAGCTACTGCTCGGCCTCTCCACTTCCACTTCACATTCACAGATTCACTTCTTGTGCAAAACAAGCAGTCTACGTAGAAAGAATGCCCTCATCGTAGTCTAATAAAAACTGTAGAAAAAAATGCTAGAGAGCCACCTCTCTTCCCACTCCCTCTTTATCTGCAGAGTGAAGGCATCTGTGCATGAACAGGATAGGCAAGCCTAACGTTGAGGGAGTCATTGTGCTGAATCAGGGATGTCTGCTGGTAATGGAGCACCAGCTCCTTCAGTGAGCTGTACAGGTTGTAGGGCTCTGCAAAGCCATATCCCCGAGCAGTGCTGTAGATCACACAGTGTTTCACTTCCCCATCGGCACTGCAAAGAGACACCAGAGAAAAATGTTAAGGCAGTTCACAAAAAAGGGACAATGAATGGTCAGAAGTCTGAGAGCAATTGTTATATAAAGGAGGAGACCCATAAGTGTTTTGTCAATCAGACAAAGCTTGTAAAATTGTGTTCTCCTCACCCTCTTATAGGTTTGGCCACAGACAGACATATTGAATGCAGAGTTTATTTCTCAACTCTCAATTCTATTCATTGATCTACATGTCTACCCTTCTCAGTACCACACAAGTCTTGATTAATATAGCTTTGTAATAACTTATGAAATCAATGTGTGACTTCTCCAACTTGTTTCTATTTTTTGAAGGTTATTTTGGCTACTCGGGATCCCTTGCATTTTCCTACGAATTTTAGGAACATCTTGTCAATTTCTGCAAATACCTAGCTAGGATTCTGATAGATCTGTGCTGAATGCATAGATCAATTAAGTATTCTTAATATATAAGATATTTTCACTTATTTTTATTTATTCCTGACAGTGGAATGTAAATATTTTGACATATTTATACAAACATGAATTAGGATCTAATTAGGATCTATTTTTCTTAAAAGATTTCAAACTTGCAAAAACTATCCTCCCCTGTCATTTCCATTCAGATGACTTCAGCAGCACAGGTCAAAGAGAAATGAAATGTTGCAAGTAGTTCTATCTTTGGATGACAGTAAACCAATGCACTTTATGATGCACTTCCATTTTTTTGCCCATAAACAACCATCCATCCTTTCAAAGTCCAGCCCCAAACTTCTTTTTCTTCACCATAATTAACAGTTCTACATGTGACCAACCTTCTAGTGATACCTATTTCACAGTGATTTTGTTTATCCTAAATAATTTATGAAATTAAGAAAGCCTGGTGCAACTGAAAAATGTGGTTTTTGAAACCTGGCAAACTTGATTCAAACACTTGAATCCATGACATAAATAGACTACTGAAGGCAGGATGATCAAACAAAGCAGATTAATATGAATGTCCTTTGTCTATCCTTACTTTCTTTGAGGGCACAATAACTTTGCCATCTTTATTTTGCCTTCTGCCATACCCAGGAGTAGCATAATTATATAACAATAGTAGTAGGTAACATTTACTTATTATGCCCTATTTAAAGCATACTACATTATATATATATATATATATATATATATACACACACACACACACACACACACAAATATGTTATTTGAATTTTACCAAAACCTCAAAGTAGGTATTGTTTTTATTACCCCCATTTTATAGATAAAGAAACTGGGCAAAGAACAGTTAAGTAATTTACCCAGAGTTACACAGCTGATAAGCAGTTAGAACCTACATCTGAACCCATTATATCTGGCACCAAATCTTGCCCTCACCATCATATCATCTTCTAAGTACAAACTGTGTCAAAGAAGATGTGCCTTCTTAAGGAATATACATAACACTCAGGCAAATTCTGATTAAGATAGAGTTATATTGGGCTGGGGTTGTAGCTCAGTGGTAGAGTGCTTGCCTAGCATGTACAAGGCCCTGGGTTTAATCCCCAGCACCACATAAAAATAAATAAATAAATAAAATAAAGGTATTGTGTCCAAATACAACTAAAAGTAAATTAAAAAAAAAAAAAAGATATAGTTATCTCCAAATTTCACTTTCCATTAAAAAGAAAACAGACTTTTCCCAATAAATTCCTAAGAGCATCTTAAGAAAAATGTATCCACATTTTATATCACTATCTAAATAAATTTAATTAAAAATTAAATTAGGCATATGAGACTACTAAAGAATTTTTTTTTTCAATTCTAGACTCACAGACACTTGAACTCCAATAGCAACAACACAAGGCCTAATCTGTTTACCATGTAAATTAAAATCCCCAAGATAACTTTAGATATTATTTTTTCTAAAATTGTTTTCTTTGTACCAGTATTAATGATCTAAGTAAGCCATGGGTCTTTATTACTATATGTTAACTAATTTCATGAGGGGTTGAYTTTCTATTAATCAATGCATAAGATTTCAAAAGACTTACACCACAGAGCAGGCATAGCATCCTTTCTTGCTACTTTCACGAATTAAAAATGCACCATCAGGTTTCCCATAAAGCAAGTCCTCTGCTTGTACACGATTGATATCTTCAACAAACCAGGTTTTCTCATCATAATGTGGCAAGTTTTCATCTTCCTCATTGATAAAATAGGTCCTAAAATTTAAATATTTAAAATATTATTCTAATAATCAGTTTATTTATATCTAACAGCAAATTCATAAATAAAATGCTCTTCTAAATCTTTAACCATAAAATGACAAAATCAAAATTGCAATTGGTTGGGTGTTGTTATTTTTTGTTTGTGGTGTACTGGGGAGCTTGAGCCCAGGGGTACTCTAGCAAAGGTACAGCCTCAACCCTTTATTTATTTATTTATTTATTTAGGCAGGTGCCAGGGATTGAACCCAGGGTACTTAACCACTRAGCCTCATCCCCAGCCCTTTTTTATATTTTATTTAGAGACAGTGTTGCTAAGTTCACTAAATTGCTGAGGCTGGTTTAAACTTGCGATCCTCCTGTCTCAGATCCTCCTGTGTCAGCCTCGAGCCACTGGGATTACAGGAGTGCGCCACCATACCTGTTATTTTTTATTTCGAGACAGGGTCTCACTAGTTGCCTAAGTTGGTCTCAAACTTGGAAACCTCCTGCCTCAGCCTATGAAATCACTGGGATTATAAGCACAGCTAGTTAGGTAGTTTTTAACAAATTCATTACTTGCTATGGTACAGAAAACATAGAATTCACATGTCTTATCCAATAAGCTGAAACATACATATCTGAATAGTAGTTTTTACACATCCAGTTTTCATGGGACTGGACAGGTTTCTGAACTCAAGTGCCCATAGGGTACTCTTAAGACAATTCAATTAAAAAGAGATGCAAAGTTCTTCATTCAATATCCTCAAGTGACAATGAGAACCACTTTTCAGCATGATAAGAAAGCCTCTGTCTTATTCTAGGAACAAAGCCTCTGACAGAAAGGTTTAGAGACAACTTACTCATCAGCATCCTCATTCTTGATTCCCAGCCAGGCATTCAGGCGCTTCTGTCTCACTCCTTTGTGATTGAGCCATCTGCCAGAGGGAAGAAACCATGTCARAATTTATATAAACTGCTTAAACAAAGTAGATAAATCCAAGGCAACCAAATTTCCTGAGTCCAGGAACCTCTTATTTTCCCTAGTGTCACAAAGAGTAGCCAGAGGTTTCCCTAAATGAGTCTCTCCGTTACTTTTCTTTAAATTATACTATGATGAATTAATCTTTTACACAAACGGCAGAAATACAGAAAACAACTTGAAATTAGACACATCTCTTACTTTCCTTTTTTTTTTTTTTTTTCCTTTTCTAGAAGCTTATGCCACTCAAACACAGTGGCACATCTGTTTCAGAAATCATTAGTTTGGTGAGCATGGTATCACTAAGCCAGAGGACCCACTTCCTGTGTGACCTGTTGAATTAAGTTTAAAATTCTAACCAGTAATTTCAAGATCCAATTTTGTACCTAAGTAGACAAGAAATTCAGGATGGCAAACTGAGTAATTAATATGAGTTTATTTTATCACCAAGCAAATCATGGTAACTTAAAATACTAACATTTAGATATAAAATGATGTAAACTATTAAGTTTATTTCCTTCTAGATGGCCAATAGTCTAAAACTTAAGTAGAGAATAAAAACTTTCATTCATTACCACCCCCAACCAAGACTCCTTATCAGTCAGGTCTCATCATGCCATCTCCTCAGATATAACTACCCTAACTGTCCCAACCAGACAGCCCCCAATCATTCTCCACCCTTTATTTTATCAACTTCATAGCACTTGGCTAAAATTTATAATTTTATGTTTTCACTGCTTAGGTTTGTCTCCCTCACTAAAATGTAAATTGCTTTAAAGAAAGGGGTCTGTCCTGTTCAAAGCTATATTCTCAATGCTTAAAATGGTACAAGCACAAGGATATTCAGATATTGATATTAAATTAATACACAGTAAACATTTGCCAGTGGACTGCTTTTAGAGGGCAAGGGGGGAGGGGCCATACTGKGGACTGWACCCAAGGATGCTCTACCACTCAGTTATATCCCCAGCCCTTTTTAATCTTTTAGATTTTGAGACAGGATCTTGCTAAGTTGCCCAGGCTGGCCTCGAACTTTAAATCCTCCTGCTCAGCCTACCAAATCACTATGCAACCTAGCCTGGCTGGTGGACTGCTTTTAACAAAATCTTCACAATTCCAAGATCATCTTCTATCTGTCTCTGACCTCAAGTACATTACATAATCTAAATCATACCTAATTTTTTACATAATCTAAATCATACCTAATTTTTAACTTTTTTTTTTTTAGAGAGAGAGAGAGAGAATTTTAATATTTATTTTTTAGTTTTCGGCGGACACAACATCTTTGTTTGTATGTGGTGCTGAGGATCGAACCCGGGCCACACACATGCCAGGCGAGGGCACTACAACTTGAGCCACATCCCCAGCCCCTTAAGTTTCTTTTAAAACTCTTTCACACAGAYTTTTCAGACTGTCTCAGGAAGACTCGCCTTTTAGTTTACCTGATTTCATGTTAATACTTAATGAAGCTGGAAAATAGATAATATGATTTTGATAGAACCAATTTAATAACAATCCCACATTACCACTTCTAGTAAAATATCTTGAGACTCTCCTCTAAACATTCTTATCACCAAAGTTTTCTATCCTTAAAGAAACCAATCTTCTCTTTATTAAAGAAACAAGTAGGGCTGAGGCTGTAGCTGAGTGGCAGAGCRCACGTATGAGGCACTGGGTTTGATCCTTAGCACCACATAAAATAAACAAATAAAGACATTCTGTCCATCTCCAACAACGACAACAAAAAAAAAAAAAAAAAAGGAAAGAAACAATTATACTGGGTAAGAAGTTTGAGCTGAATTAATCACACCATAGTTTCTCCTGAGCCCCATTTTCTTTTAACCACCAACCACTTTACACCAAGCCTTCCATTCTGGGAGGGAAATTAGCACAAGAAAGGCTAGGAGAAAAGGAAACAAAGAACAATGTTTGGTCTACCTTCCATTTATGAAACTTTCTCAATCTCCCCAAAATCCACTTGAAAGATTATTATGCAGTTTGGAGTCCTATTAACAATGCCAAGAGCTGTTTAACTTTTAAAAGTCATTTTGAAAAAGCTCAAATTACATTAGTTAATATGTAATTCATACTTAATTTACTGTTATTGAGTAATACATAATCACATGTAAAGGCTGTAAATTCCACGGGAAAAATATGAGGCAAGGCGTCAAAAGACCTATATCTAGTTCTCTCTTTTATAAATTTTTTTAAACTTTTATTTTAGTTGTTAATGGATCTTTTCTTTCTTAAATTTATTTATTTATTTATTTATTTATTTATTTATGTGTATGTATGCGGTGCTGAGGATCGTACCCCAGTACTTTACATGTGCCAGGCAAGTGCTCTACCACTGAGCCACAACTCCAGTCCCTTATTTTCATTTTTTTGTTATTTTTAATGCTGATTCTAATTGTGTAGTCTCAGACCAGCCTCTCTTTGAACCTTAGTCAGCTCTTCCTTCAAGAAAAAAGAAAAAGAAAAAAAAAAACAAGGAAAATACACTCCCATAGTTTACACTGAAATTATCTTCAGAGAGAAAACAATAGTTTATATCCTTTCCTTGCCTCTGCCCCAGCAAGTCGGGGTGGAGGTGTATACAGCATTCTTTCTAAAGATCTAATTGGCCTTATAACCTAACTAGCACACTTGAAGAGGAAGAAAGTTTGTGTTTCAGTCTCCWGTGATCAAGAGATTAAGCTAGGAAGTCACTCAAAGAGGGGACAGAAAAAAACGTTTCAACTTAAAGCAGTAGTCCCTGGACTACTAAATAAATATGAAATGGTGTGACGAAGTGGGTGGCTCACACACAGGCACCTGAATGGAACACAAGAAGATTTTAAGATACAGGGTCTATTAATAGTCAAATAGGAGATTATTGTGAAGGGCACCTCTGAATTTTCTAGAACAGAAGTATTTAACCAGATGGCAGGGCCCAAAGACTAGGAGCAGAGGAAGCAAGCATGCAATGATAGCAATCAGGCCAGGGAGGACCTTGTGCTTCCGTAATTTTCTGGTACGTGAGATCTTGGAAAAAATTGATTTGATTTTCCTCTGAATAGCCTTTATTTTTTTTTTTCCTCTGCCTTTTTTTGGAGGAGGGGAGTAATACTGTATTTACATATATATATATATATATATATATATATATGTAATATATATATATGTAAAGATATATATATGTAATATATATATATGTAAAGATATATATATGTAATATATATATAGATATATATATTTAAAGATAGAGAAGAGAGAGAGAGAATTTTTTAATATTTATTTTTCAGTTTTCGGTGGACACAACATCTTTATTTTATTTTTATGTGGTGCTGAGGATCGAACCCAGCGCCCCGAATATGCCAGGTGAGCACGTTACTGCTTGAGCCACATCCCCAGCCCTACTTGTATA